GGGGTAATAAATATTTTAAAAAATATTTCTACCATGACTTTCATAAAAAAAACATATTTATAATAATTTCGATCATCTGTAAATAGTTCCTGAAAGTTTCATTAACATCCGATAATTCTATTTTTGCACGATTTTTCAAATGAATGTGTGTCATACCAAAAAAACGTGCTAAAAATTGTCTATGTTATTTACTAGTTCCGCTGATACAAATAGAAAAAAGTTTTTTTTAATCAAAATTTAGAATGTTCTAAAAAGAAGGAAATTTTTTTTAAAAATAATTAAAAAAAACTTTGGTCTTTCCTCTTAATAATAACATAAGCATTTAGACAATAAAATTTAGTTTTCGGCAAGGTTGCCGTCTTTTTCATCAAGCTATGCTCTTTTTTAGCGATTTCGTGGAGGTACCTACATTTATATGAAATTCATGAAATATATAGACAAAGGGGGTGGTAGAGGTACCCTGAAGGACAGAAGGAAACAGCGAATAAGCTATCTAACGATTTTTTTTTATGGTTGAGTGGCAGACCAGGAACAAAGGGAAGATGAAAGAGTCAAACAGATGCAGCGTTGCATGTCATCTTGGGTTTCTTGTGGTGTATGAAATATTTTTCAGGTTCCAGCACCGCGCCACAAATTCAGAATGGATTCTGCTAGTTTCATTTCAATGGGTAATGGTATACAGTAGTTGTTGGACCCTTTTTTGGAGGAGAGAGAGAGAGAGAGAGAGAGATCTAAAGAACAGGTCGATCAGCGATATGGCATTACCATTCCAAGGGAACTGATAGCGAAATCACATCTTCACTCTTCAACTGATCCCATTGTACTCTACCTGCTTACAAAATAGAATCTCTCTCAGAATTCCACGCTCATGAGGTTCGAGTCGTTAAAATTCAGTACGGTAGACGTTATCATATTGGGCTAGCCTAAGAATTCTATAATACAGGGCAGTGTTGTTGTTGTTATTATTGTTTTTTTATTATTATTTTTATTATTATTATTATTATTATTATTATTATTATTGTTATTATTATTATTATTATTATTTTATTGTTGTTATTGTTGTTATTATTATTGTTGTTATTATTATTATTGTTATTATTATTATTGTTATTATTATTGTTATTATTATTATTATTATTATTATTATTATTATTATTATTATTATTATTATTATTATTATTGTTATTATTATTATTGTTATTATTATTATTGTTATTATTTTTATTATTATTGTTATTATTATTATTATTATTATTGTTATTATTATTATTGTTATTATTCCCTCATGGTACCCGTGGTATGATTCGGCTTTTGATATAAATTGTGGGTATTAACATATGTTTTGTGTTAGTTCATTAAGGTAATGTACTGGAAATATACCCTTCTGTGCTAAAGATTTGTTTGTTGTCTGACCATAACAAGCTGGAACAGATTACTAAGGACTGCATCTATCAAGTATGAACGGGTGTTGTGGGAGAACCATTGTATCGGGGTGTCAAGAGGGCTGTATTTTAAGTTATAGGCTATCAAAAAGACTTGGTTGACACATCTAGATTGATGGGAACTTCCTCAATCGGAGACCAATTGAGAAGTTATTTAAGAAGTTATTTTTAACTTGCCGCCGCAACTGCATGTTTATACCCCGATTTTATCAAAACCTGTCAGTATATCGCACACATTTGAGATTCAGACATTGTGTTTTATGGTGGTTATAGTGGGGCTTTGTATATTTGTGCCCCAGCATCAGTTAACGTGCTAATCAATCAATCAATAAAATCAAATTTGTTTTCATATACATATTGACCGGGTTAAGCAAAAGAGGTGAGCTAGTATATTTGCTTACGCCTCAAATTAAACATCAATGGCCGGAGAGTAGCTCGGGTTGCTTAGATTGGCCACCACCAACCGAAAGAAATAATATTTGAGTATTTTCTTTATATGCATTAAGAAAAAAAAAAACTATTTTGTAATTTTGTAGATTGCAGACAGAAGCGAACACCAATGATTGTATCTGTTAATTGCAATGAAATATAATCTCCCAATCCATTGATGAAAAATTGATTGATTCTTGATGACAGTAACAGGGACTTAAAAGCACTCATTTATGTAGCCCGAGAGACGAGCAAAATCCATTTTCTGCACCATTAACCAACGATTTACTGTTACATTCAATGGTTTTCGATCTCCCGTGGTCAAAGCTTGTCCGGTTAGTTAAACTCTGAGACGACATTCAGATTTCATGTCAGATTATCAAGCATGATTGATTTAATTAATTATCTCTTAACTGGCTTCACAAAAGAAAAAATCCGATTATTGAAATATAAACAAAAAAAACAAACAAATGTCTGTTGGATTATTACAATTATTATTTTTACTATTATCATCATTTAGAAAACTTATATAAAAGAAAGGAATTATGAACTAAATACATTAATAGGATTATATATAGAGTGACGCAACTATTTCTAGATATTCAGGTAAAAAGTGTTGACGATTTATCATAAATGCAGTGATGGTTAAATTAGAAATTTGCAGGTCTGTTAACGATTATATCATGGCGTCTGAAGGCTGTGTGAACAACTCTAATCTTTTCGTTTTGTGGTAAAACTTTTAATGAAACAGTAGAATGTAGTTTAAATTCGAGAGACTGGCCTAAATTCATTAGTAGGCACTAATCCTGAGTAACAAAATGTAGATGTTGTATTTGTCGTATTGTCTGGTCATTTGCAAAGTAACTTCATTTTCTAGCCAACCTCCGTCTTTCGTACACTGCATATTTATATTTTCTCAAATCTCGTGGTCGCCATGATTTTGCGTTAATTTGTCAGCATAAAAACAATATGGCTGCCACACGAGATATTTTTTTTTATGTACGGACGTCCATGATGTAATTTTTTTTTCTTTTTTGAACTACATAGAATATAACAAATTCTGTAACAAAAAATTTTCTTGGAATAAATCTAGTAGACTGTAATAAGCGAGCCATTGACGGTTTTTTGTTTGCATTGAGGGACTAAGACAGTAGGCAATGAAAAAATGTTTTTAGAGTACTAGTGATATGAAATGAACCAACACTCGAGTAATGGTTGTTAATTTTGATCAAATCCGATATATACAATAAAAAGAATCGGTAAGAAAATGAATCTCCTAGACTTGCCAACCATTACACTACGTCGAGATGCCGCTCACAATTTTTATGTGATAATAACTGTAGTTAAAGATTTAAAAACAAAAACAAAAACAAAACCGGAGATAGAAATAAAGGGAGAACTATGGATCATTGATAACTCTCACCTCCAATTTGCGAATCCTAGTTACTATATCCTTAATATTATGCAAACAATATCAAAATGATAAATTCTGTCAATTATTCATAACAATTTATACTGCAACTCGTGCATGCAGTTACAAGTAATACGTAATAATATTTTATATTTTGAAACCATTTACTTTTGGCATTTGTACTTTTGGAAATTTTCTGTATCTGTCTTTCAACCATTTGGCCTCACCTGCTAACTTCTTCCTTCGAATCTATAAGGCGAAACGTTTGGGAACCACTGTCCTCATTTTCCACCAGCAATAAGATTTACGCCTATTGGCTCTCATCTATTAATCCCAACAAGCTCCATTTGGGAAAAGTATTTATATATTACATATCAAATCTTCCATACGTACTAAATTTAATCGTTAGATTTACGACGGATAATAAGCATTGGTCAATGCATTTTCCCCATCGGTAATGGACAGTTATAATTCAACAAGCATGTTCACATGCGATCAAACTATAATTCATGAATGTTGAATGATACCTCATTATTTTAAATCGTTTTAATTATATTAAATTTATTATAATATATTTATAAGAAATATTTTATCGTGAATATTGTTTCTGGTCAAAAACCTAAATGCTACAAAATAATTTGACATTTTAAACTAAAAGAATTCGCTAATGAAGTAATATTTGAACATTAACTGTTTTCTGCATAATTTATGGACGAATCGGATTTTCATACAAATTTAAATGGGATGCTAATTCTTCAATAAAATTGTTAAATATCTTAATTTTAGAGCCGCATTTCATTGCAATTTTACAGTGGTGCGTGTTTACATTAGGAAACATGTATTTCTTTATTCTTAAGAAAATCTTTTAATAATAAAATTCAGTCATTGATGAAAAATAGAAAAAATCTATTTTTCATTGAATTTTCATAAATTTTTAAAATGTTCGAATGATCGATTACATACTCTATTGATCGATTAAAGTTTCTAATGATTTTTAGTCCATGAATCCCGTAAGGGTCGTAGGGTCACATACTGTACTTATGCCATAGAAGCTGTGGAACCCATCGTTGTTCAGGTTAGTTTTGAATCAAGCGCACAGTGAGGCCTGATATTTAGCCCATTGTTGGGGGAGAGAAGTTATAGATTCATACCTTTAAATACTGTATTTGGGCGAAATTGTATCTAACGAAGTCCGTCACGAACCGTTACACAACTCAACTCGCGCTGCGGATTTTTAATCACCAATAAAAGTCCATGAACTCATTAAATTTTATATCGGAATAATCTTGAATCTGATTTCTTTCTCATGGTATAATGTTTCTGAAAATTGAATTAAAATTTAATTGTGATTTAAATGACCATCTTGATCTTTGGTGTAAATTCTGTTGAATAACTATTAGTTTTTGGTTTTCTCTTAAAATGTGTTGACTCGTAATTCCAGTCTGGTCTTGACAGACACCAATCGATGCGATAATCAAAGGTAAATAAATAATATATTATTACAATTGAAAGGAATTTTTTTATTAATGATGTTGATATAAAACAAACCACTGAGTTAATTAAGTCGATTCATCCATTATTTTTAAAACATTAATAAAAACAATGTAAAATATCAATATCTTGAAATCCACAAAAATGTTCCTCATATAATATCAAAATAAACAAGTCAATTGCATATTAGAGGGTTCTTTCAGAATCTGAAATTTAATGATCGTCGA